GGCGCGTGCTGGCCTGCTCCGTTCGTATGGCATGCGTGTGTACAATATAAAATATTCGAGCAACGTTAAAACATGAAAAGAGTGGCACATTAATGGCTGGAAAATATGTATTCGTTTTCTATCTCTCACACTATCTATCTCTATCTATCTCCATCTACCGATCTGTGTGTATCTATCTATATCATTCGTATCTCTCTCTCTTCACTTTTTTTTTTTTGTTTCTTTCACAAGTATTTACATTCGAGATCCTTCATTTTATTCAACAACATATTTTCATTCGTACCATTTTGCTTTCATTTTTTTTCTTTCTATGTAATTTTTCCTTCTTTTTTTTTCTCTCCCCCCCCACTATATTCCAACAGGATTGCTATTGCTTGAAAGAAATTCCAAAAAGAAAATAATAATTATTAATTCTCGATTGATCCATTCACAGTTTATATTTTTCTCATATTTTTACTGTTATTATTATTATTATTATTATTATTATTATTATTATTATTATTATTATTATTGTTATTATTATTATTGTTGTTGTTGTTACTAAAGCGAATGTAATAAATTATATGAAAATTTGAATAGAAATCTTAATCGAATTTTTTATATTTCCATCAATTAATTCATTCCATTACGGATGGTTATATATATATATATATATATATATATATATGTATGTACGTACGTATGTATGTATTTATTATTACTGCTATATTAATATAATAATAACAATAATAATAATAATTATTATTATTCTTTTTTTTTCTTTGTTTTTATTTTTATCGTAATGGCAATGAAAATCGAATGAAAATCTTTTGAATTCGTATTCATTAATATTTCTCACAATCAATGCAAATATAGTTCATACAATTACATCAGTTTTTTCATGATCGAAGAAATCGTATTTTTTTTCTTTTTTTTTTACACGTGTATTACAACGATGTTGAATTAGGGAATACGTGGAAAGACAATGAATGGTATAGGAAGTGATGAAAGGAAAGAGGATTATTAATTAAACTCTCGATTTTCGAGACAGCTTATAAAGTTAACAGATAAGTTCGTCAAAGGAACTAATAATAAACACACACATACGCACACTCATATATATATATATATATATATATATATATATATATTAGGAGAAGAAGAATCTTACTGTGAGTATTATCGTTTGGATAGTTAGTAATTAGTATTTGAGACGATTAAATTTCTCTCTCTTTCTCTGTCTCTGTCTATTTATCTTTATACTTAATCTCTTTCCCTTTTTCGAATGAAAGAGCAAAGATAGATGATCGAAGAACAAACGAAATGTTTGCTTATATAGATGTATATTTAAGACTCAAGTCTGCATTATATATATATATATATATATATATATATATATATATATATATATATATATTTATGTAAGTACCTAGAGAATAAGCCATTAAATGGAGATCAATCGAACGTTTCCAAAACTCTCAGTTCGACCTTTAAAGTACCAATGATAATAATAGTAATGACAACAATAACAATAATAATAATAATAATAATAATAATAATAATAATAATAATAATAATAATAATAATAATAATAATAATAATAATAATAATAATAATAATAATTTGCACAATGGCAGGGAATATATTCGGGAAACGAGACATCCGGAAAGTGTTTTAATTGTACCGAAGAACGCGCATTAGTAGAGATTCGCAAAATTACGCGAGCCAAATGGACGTGAGCAGTTAGGATATTTATGTGTGTGTGTGTGTGTGTGTGTGTGTGTGTATGTGTATTTCTCTCACTCTCTTTTCTGTTTGCTCAGAAAAAGCTATGCCAATAACGATAAAAATCGCTACTTCTCTCTCTCTCTCTCTCTCTCTCTCTTTCTCTTTTTCACTATGAGAATAGATTCTCATTACCGTTTCGTTTAGGTTAGTCTGCGGATAGAACGACGAATATCATTTTCACGGTAATTGCACATGGAAATTCGAAAAGTTTACTGAAGAAAATATTACTGTGATCTTTTTTCTTCTTCTTTTATCTCTCTCCCTCTCTCTCTCTCTCTTTCTCTATTTTTTAGAAACGACTGAATGATACGAAAATAAAATTAACAATAAGCGTTATTGTAAGGGATATTATTATACTTAACGATTCTCATGAATTTTATTGGATACAAAATAACGATAGGATTTTACATGTTTACTCTTTTCGATTTTAATTTGTCGAAATTTGTTTCAAGAGGAAATACGTCCCCGTTCTATCTTTCGTATTTATTAGATTTAATAAGAATATATATATATATTTTTTTTATATATTTTATGTATAAAGGAAAAATACAATTTTACATACGTTATCGTACGATTTTCAGTAACAGAAACAGAGAAAATGAGAGAGAGAGAGAGAGAGAGAGAGAGAGAGAGAGATCGAGTAGTAAGTGAGTGAGATAAAATATATTCGATATTGATATATCGGAATTTTTAACGATTGCGTTTTCGATTTCATATAGATATACGATTCGGT